TACGTACGTACGTACTACTACTACGTACGTACGTACGTACGTACGTACGTACGTACGTACGTACGTACGTACGTACGTACGTACGTCTACTCTCTCTCTCTCTCTCTCTCTCTCTCTCTCTCTCTCTCTCTCTCTCTCTCTCTCTCTCTCTCTCTCTCTCGCTGCATATATGTATTGTGAAACCATAATATCCTCGAGTAAAATTATCTTCCTGCACTAGGGTGATCAAATAGTTTACAAGAACGCTACAGTGACTATATAATCTGAGTAACTTCTAAGAAAAATTAATAATCAAAGCTTTACCTCTACATCAACCCCAGCTGGGAGATCAAGTTGCATTAAAGAATCGATGGTCTGAGCAGTTGGATAGAGTATATCAATGAGACGGTGGTGTGTTCTGATCTCAAAATGGAAGCGAGCATCTTTGTGAACATGTGGAGATTTGAGAACACAATAAATTCTCTTCTTTGTGGGGAGAGGAACAGGTCCCATGGTCTTCGCATTGGTTGTCTTAGCAGCATCCATTATTTGTTTGCATGAGTCCTCAATTAAGGGAACCCAATAAGACCGAAGCTTGATTCTTATCTTTTGTTTTGGTGCCATCTGAAAAAGGATGAAACATCTTTTAGAGGAACCAAATATATGGTGAGGGTACAAATCCTGAGAATAACAACCAATCCGCAATGCAGTATATTATCGGGATCCGAAAACATTGTTATTGAGCAGCCACTGTATTTGGAATATCTCAGTATTACATGCATTCACAGGTGTTGGCGTCAACAAGTACCACAGGTATCCAGTATGCTGGCCTCAAAAGCCAATACAAGATTCATCTGTATCCCATTTATTTTTTATAAATAAAGGATTGTATTTTGGAATAGGTACTATAGTTTTCCGTTTTATAATACCAAGTACATGGATGGGACGGTGGTAGACCTTACAATGGTGAACGTACATATGGCGGCAGGAGTCCAAATCCCCTTGTGAGCATGTTTTTACAACTAATAAAATATTAGCTCTCACATATAATTTAGTTTTCACTTTTAATGCATACAACGAGTGATAATAAGATGGCGAACATAACATTATGGAGAAATAAGGAAGTGGTTTTATTCCTACAGCGAGCATTTCTATACCTTTTTATTATTAAAACTTAATGGGAACAAAAATGCTTGCAAGCCACATGATTCCAACCACAAACCTCCTAGAGAATAAAATTTGTTCAACAATAGATCTTTATTATGCTATATGACACTTCTATTAGGCATGTCAATCCTACTAACTAATAGCGATGTGATTTGACACATACAGTTGAGTGTCGGGACCGTATCATTAAATGGTATCCAAGTGTCAACACACTACACCAGCCTCAGTGCGGAGCATCGGGGAGACACTAGAATATCCTCATCTTGGAAACACTATTAAAAAAACCATAACAGCCCATCTTCTAAATCATACCCTGAGAAGGAGCCTTTCTTATCTATATTGCACTTTGCACGTGAATTATATAGAGAGGGAGAGGCAGCCTTGAGCTCTCTCTCTTTCTCTTGGCCAGGTGCAGGAAAGTGCCAAGGCTTTCCTTGCATTGTTCAACGTGTGTGTGTGAGTGAGAGAGAGAGAGAGAGAGATGGGCCGCTGACTGCAAGAGAGGAGGAAGTACAGCAATTTTTTCCATTTAAATTTCATCGCAGTTGCGTATGGTTCAAACCTAGCAAACCTCAATCAATGAAATGCGTGGCAGTCATTATTTCTATCATATCCAGCATGATGCCTTACAGTATAGATTTTTAACAATGCAATGAGTCCCACTGTGATTGAGATTAAAGGAACAACAAAACTGTAATCAGCTCAAACAATCACAAGCATAAAGGACGTCATTTTAAAAGGATTCTGGCATAGTTGATACATCACAAAATAATGTTCAAATCTTAACCAGTTCAATATCTGGTACCGGAATACTGCTAACTCCATTTTAATGCCATTACAAACTAAATGAATCAATTATGTAAGCAGCTGAGCAATATGCAGAAACAGTTTTGAAGCTACATGTACTTGTCAACCAATGTGTTGCTAGAAAAGCATCAAAATGGAAAATGAACCCAAGTAATTATGAATCATGAAGGGTTTAACGTTTATTACAGTTATTCTAAATTTTTTGCGCGTAAATTATTACCTTATGGGTAAAAATATAATTTATTTAACTGTTATTTCTAGCATTAATTTTATATAACCAATAAAAAATATATTATACAATGAAATTTCTTTGGAGAATTCTACATTCTATTTCCGAAAGTAATTTTATGCATGATGGATTTCCGGTCTAGCCTTAAACCAGCTTTTTCTAAAATTTTGAAGGGACATTTCAACCATTTAATGTTTCAGCCACTCCCCAAAATCCCAACATGTTCAAATATAAATCTTCATCATCCCAAATTAATTACAAAGTTGAATCGAGAACATCACATGTCTAGATATTAATCTACTAATCAGTTAGAAGGTACTAAACTGTTTTAAGTTACAAGAAAATGTATAAAAACAGTAAATCAACCTGTATTCCTACCATGTAGCAAAAAGAATAGCAAGGAAAAAAATAACATGAAATCCCTATAAACCTAATAAATACCTTATCAGCATCTGCACTTATCGCCATTGGAGAAGGAACTGAGATATCAGAGCCAACCTGATACACAAAACAGACACAATTTATCAATCTACTCTTCAGGAATGATATCAGACATATCCTCCCAACGACAGCTGAAGTTGAATATCCATGCCTATTTCTACATGCATGATTCTTTATATATCTATTTGATATTCAAACTTTTTTAATTAACATGGAAAATTGGCATAGGGAAGTACAAAAACATTATTCTAAACTGGATAATATTTGAGGCCATCTGATGTACATGGGTGGAAAGTCTTCATAGCTCTAAGTGCTGATGGTGGGGCAAATAGCAAAAGCACAAATACAAATAGAACTCCCCTATTATTTTTATTCATAACCACACAATATTAGTTCACCAAAGTGTAAAATGGACTAGGAACGGGGCTTGGGCTTTGATTGGTTGGCATTGATGATTGCAACAATTGGGCTTAGGCTTGGGCCGGATTGCTTCAATGATAATGCAAAAACACCTCCTGAGATTCTAAACCTGATAAGAACCAAATTTTCCTTTACTAATGTTGACAGCTCTAAGTGGTCAGACATTCTCATGCTTTCAACCTCATATAGGGTGATATTTTTGGGGCTTCATGTACTCCCAACTTCAAAGATAAGAAAGTGCATGGGGCTGGTTAGTGTCTAATAATCCTGTTACAAAATACTCTTGAATTTGTGCTTTGTTAGTTGAGCATTGCATAAGTTTTATAGCACTTTCCTTGTTGCCACCACCAATGTAGAACAGGCTCCGAATTGTTTAAAGGGAAATTTATCAAATTACCCATGAGAGATGAACAATGACACTTTACCCATAGCTTTTAATTTAATTTCAAAATACCCTAGGACGATCATCATCATCATAGCCTTTTCCCAATTAATGGGGTCGGCTATTAAACATACTAAAAAATACTCCCTTCCCTTGAAATTCTCCTCCAAAGCAGGCTGGTGCCAGGATTCGTTTTAAACAGCTATTAAAGTTTAAATTTGTGAGGAACTCTAGAAATTACTTGCAATCATTTGGTTCTCTCAAAAGGTTTCACCCATGGACAATACAAACCCATTGGTTAGGCCAAAAAAGGGAAAGAAATGCCAATAGATTAAGATATTAATCATTTGAACTTTTAAACATTGACAATAATAATCAACATATCATTTGTTGTTTAATAATTATCTGACAATCATGGTACAAGTTTCCTTAATTTTTAAGGATAGCACAAAAATTAAGACTTCATGTTTCATAGTCAACTACAAATATAAATATATTCCTTAATTAGCTTTGCATGTCCATCACCTAAAAGTAATATCTACATAACCACAAGTAGAGTTACTTTTTGATTTCATAGAAGAAGTGAGGGAACATATAAATCCAGAAGCTATATTACAAGTACATGATACAAGTGTCAGCATAAGGCACGGATACATGTTTGAAACATCAATCTCAAAATTTCGTATTTGAAACAAGATACCTATGTACATCATTTAGAGGGGGAAAGAAGTGGGATTTTAAGTGACACTAAGAATTTTATATCTAAGTTTGAATAAAAAAAAGCCAAGCAGAAGGGCCTTTGTTTTAAAAGTGGCAAATATGTATGTTGTGTCCTAGATTGCCGACGCATGCCAAGAACCTTGGCCGCACATGCGCAAGCTACAAAATGCTCAAGCCATTCTTGATTGAAGAGAAACTCCAAAACACCCTTAGTATCCCGAAATAATAATAAGGGCAAGCTTTCTATGCTTCCCCTACAACATAAAACTGATATACTTCCCCTTATCCAACCGTCCATTCTGAATGGAGGGCTAAGATTGCCCCAATCACAATGTCACATCTCTACACTATTTTATTTTTAATTTTTCTATAAACTATTTTGACACCAAATTTTGTACGTACAATCCTCTATTAAACTCGCACTAGCCAAAATATGAAAAAAAATATTTTCAATAAAATAAAATGGCTAAAATACTTTTGAAAGTTTCAAGGGGTATTTTGGTCATTATATTTTATCGAAAAATTATTTTTAATATTTTTTATAGGTGCACCCCAATGAGAAGATGGCACGTTCCAAATTTCATATTCATACAATTTGTATAAAAAAAACTAAAAATAAAATACTTTGAGATGTCAGATCTAAGATCAAACGGTGAGTGGCTCTCTCGATCAAACTTGGACGGCTGGATGGTAGGGGAAGCATAAATCTTCTAGGCTGTAGGAGAAGTATATAAACCTTTCCCTAATAATAACTGCATGATTGCAGTGAAATATGGGTTAAGGATACCTATTCATAGCAGTTCAAAAACTCAAAACGTGGTAGCCGACTCATTCATTGCCAAAACCAACTACCAAAATCCACCACATTGGAACATAACACCATCAAATTACCCTAGAAAACTATATATAAGGAAATACTTTGATACAATCTCAGATTTTCATTTTAGAACTTCCTTATCTAACAAGTAGAATGAGTTTTTTCAACTTGAGAAGAGTTTTTATGCCCTGATTCATACAAGCTGAATCCATTGTAGGACATGCTACTGGGTACGAGGCTCTTATTGACAAGAAAAAACATAGTTCTTGTGATACGTATTGGGACTTGAGGGGTTATGAAAGGCAGAAGATCCCTGTGGTTGGAAGTGTTGTTCCTACAATGCATATGATAGGGGAATCGAGATCCCAAAATTTTAGGAATCCCAATCCCAACCTTTAGGAGATCTCAATCACGACCTTTTGGGATCTCGATCCTAACCTTTTGGGGATCTTGCTCCTAACCTTAAAGAGTATATATAGTCTAGGACTATGCATACTCTTTAAATTAGGGATCTATTTGTTTATAGCCAGCAAACAATGCAACTACATTAAAAGTAGGCCTGCAACACTAGGCGGCTTGGAAATCATCATTTTAGTCGTTATGTTTGTCTCTAAGGTGGGATTGAGATCCCAAATAGTGGGGCTTAAGATCCCTAACAGAAGCGAGATTCTAAAGCGGGATCGCCAAATAAGTTGGGAGATCCCAACACTTCTGACCAAAACACAAAAAAAGATGTTGGAAATAACAGATTGAGGTTCCATACAAAAATCCGAGATGGCCCAGTTCTACCACTTGAAGTCATGGTAAGAAGTTGCGAACTCTCAAATTAATTCACACCAAGCCAAAAGGGAAGTAACCAAATTCTTGCATATTGAATACAAGACCGCATCAATTAGCTAGGTCAGAAATCATGTTGAGGCCATTAAGCTCCCCTACCCACTCACATTATAACATTTCCCCATTCTCATTCTCTCAAGTTTGAATTCTAGCTAAACAAAAAGAGGAAGTCTAGAAAATGTACTCTACCACATGTGGTCTCCATCATCTACTCACAATAACCAATAGTGGAGATGAACCAACAAAGTGGAGGAATGGTTCACCTCCACCACCATCATTGATAATGGATATTGGAGGCCTATATGTAGTATTCAAACAACACACAACATGTACCATGTTAGTCTATGAAATCGTTTTAAAATATTTTCGAACTTAGTAAATCTTGATGTGAATTGATTCAGAGATAGATAAATTGACGCACAACGAGAAACATTTAGGGGATTACACATTCACTTGCATGTATTGGTTTAAGAATTTACATAATTGAAAGGTAGGCATAACATTGAAAGTAAAATCTCAAGAGTTTTTGGTTTAATAAAAATTACGAGCTAATAGTTAAGGCCATGCAACCTACTGATACATCCATTCTCTGACTAAGAAAATGTTCAGCCTCCACCCACATCTTTTTTTTACCACTTCTGTCACCTATGTAGGTACTAACCACTTCTCTTGGTCCAAAAAAGAGCTCTTGAGCACAATGGAGAATATGCATTTGTCTAACACTTTTTTTCGTTCTCTAATCCCTCTTATCTTCCCATGAATTCCTTCTTTGAAGCATTCTCCTCTCAAATTTCAACATATTTACTTCCATTAGTTTCTTTCTCTAGATGCATAGCTTTCTTTCATCAAGTGAAGGCTCATCCACTTACTCCCGAGCATTTGTGCTTTTATAATTTTAATGTTCACCTCAACAATTTTCAGAGATTCTCCCCAACAAAAACTAAGCTTGATATGGCATCTTTGCAGTACATGAATCAAGACTTGACCAAGCTTGATTGTTTTGAGGGATCAAATTTCAAGAGGTGGCAACAAAAGCTTCATGTTTTTGCTCAACTCCATTAAAATCACTGTGTTAAATGACGTATGTCCACCACCAATAGGTTCCTCAGATATTACAACCGATGCTTTGACTGCAGGCACGTCTCAATGCCTTCGTTGACCTGCTCTTTGATCTATGCTCATCAGCACCGACCACTAAAGCGCTTTGGCGAGCTTTGAAAAACAAATATAGCTTGCAGATGCCGGTGAAAAAGAAAGTTTCTTGTTAATTGTTGTTAGATTTTAAAATGGTAGACAACAAGCCTTTTAAGTCTCGTGTTAATTGTTGTTAGATTTTAAAATGGTAGACAATAAGTCTTTTCTTGCCCTAGTGCAATAACTTCTACTTATAACCAATTAAATCTTTATGAAGAACATGAAGCTTGACGAATCTTTCCAAGTCACAGTGCTTACTGTAACATTCCATCACCTTGAAGAAAACCTCTTAGCACGCAGAAGCACAAACTGGAAGATATGACCTTCGAGCAACTCGTGCACATCTTCAAATAAGGAAAAGATACTTGACTCCATGATATGCATGAGAAGGGGTTTGAGTCTTCGAGTTGCAACCCGAGGCACATATCATAAAAAGAATGAAAACAAAAATCACAAGCATAAGAGTACAAAGTATGCCACAAAAGAATGATGTAAGAACCATGAAATGAAACCAAAAGGAGAAAACAAAAATCGTTGTCAATGTAGTAAACCTGGTTATGGGATATTTGGGGTGGCAATGGACCCAAACCCGATCCGGGACCCACAGGGTATACCCGACAAGGTCCGAGTATGGGTCCAACATTTGGACCCTGCGGGTCGTGTCTGGGTCCAAAATCTGGACCCAAA